CAAAAGAGACTTAAACAAAAAGATGAATTTAAAGAAATTGTATATTCTATATGGAGAGGTATATCATCAATTTATCAGGATGAGGATTGTTTTCCTTAATATATATATTAATTTCTCTTTTTTGGGTAAAATATTAATTTATGTTTCGGGTTTGATTTCGGATATATTAATATATTAATTGAAGTTGATGCATTGGGATGCTAAGGTCAATTCTCTTAAGTTGTTTACTTGTATAGTCTTTCATTTCCATAATAAGAAAAAGGTTCCAGAGAGACGAACCAAAGCAACGTGTAATGACTGATAAACTCGATAATCAGTAATCACCTATGCAACTTGGAAGTCTTGTATCTATCTAGGGAATAACAAAACAAATATTATAACGAGACCATGATACATATATAGTCTAATGTCTAGTGGTTTCAGTTAATGTTATTGATGTATTATTATATGTATCCAGATTCATACTAAATGGACTAATTTTAATAAAGCATGTAGGCTTTATAAAATTTGGTATGTGTGAAAACGAAATGGGTTTGGGCTCATAAAGAGAAAGCCTTTTAGAAGGCTACATATAAATGAGGAGATGGGGAATTGTCCCACATCGGGTAAAAAAGGAAAAATCTACTTGTTTTTATAGGGGAGAAGACTCTTGGGAGTCTAAAAGCTGTTGGAAGGAGAGTTGGTCCCCGCGCGCGCTCGCTCGCTCGGCTCGGCGCTGGCGCGTGGCTCTTGGCTCTTGGCTCTTGGCTTTTGGTAGAGGGCCTCCGGCCCATTAACTATCTTTTTGGGCCAGATTCAGATAAATGTTTGTTATTTTTGGAGAAATCTGTTTAAATATTTCCGTTAAAGAATATTCGTTCCAGATTTTTTGCCAACGATCACCATTTACTCCAGTCAATTATTCTGAGCGAGTCTCACGGAATAATTGATTTCGTTTGACTTCAAAATCAAAACGGGCTCTTCTCTTGGCTATATAAGAAAGCCTTCCCTTTCCTCATTTCTCACCAAGTTTATTATACAGAAAATTTCCAACAGTCTCTCTTTCGTTTAAGTAAGTTCCGAGAGTATAGCGTAGTATTTTCTAAGTTCATAGATTCCGTTTTCGAGTGTTGCAAAACGGTCTCATGTGCGTTGTATCCTGGGACTCAAGAATCGTACAGAACCGTCACACTAACGGGCGATTCATTTGAGTTAAGGAAAGAGAGAAATCTCGCCTCAGCGTTTCTTCGGGTTTCTTAAAACGTTTTTCAATCCTCTTGTTCCTCCTTTCTTTCCGTTTCATATCGTTTCCTCTGCAACTGTTTATCTCACTTTAGTTCATATTTTAATCGCTTATTATTGCTTATTACCGTTTATATAATCAGTTCAATCGCAATTTTTTGTCTGTCCATTTTTGTGGTTCTACAGTCTTAACTCAAATGAATCCGCTTCTAGTTTATCACTACAATCGGATTTAGACTTTTTGCGATTTCATAAACGATTTTTATAAACGTTTTCCGCTTTTGAGCGATTACGGATTTGCGAATCATTTTATAGTGATTCCGCGAATCGTTTTCGAAACGATACAGATGGTTTTGCGAACGCATTACAGTGATTCCGCAAAAGGGTGAAGGTTTCTGCAACGCTTTAGAGTGAGTTTGCAAAACGCTTTGACCATTTAAAAACGTTTCAGCGAACGCTTTTACAAGCGAGTTTGCTAAACAACAGTTTTGGTTTATTTTAGATAAATCATTACTTCAACTGCTGTGTGTTAAATCGCTTACATACTGATACCTGTTATTTACTTGTGATCAGATGGCTACCGAGTCCAACAATAACACACCAATTTTGGGGGCTGATGCTGAAAATGTGGGGGCTGGTACGACACCAACTGTGACCCAAATCAGTGATGGAACCGAGGAGATAGCAAGGAGAGCTTTGTTTAACTCTGGTCTTCTTTTGGTGCCTACCTCCATTGAAGTCAACAATGATATTCCGTCAGCAGTCACTCAAGGGCTCATGCCAGACAAGTTCGATGGGAAAGGCTTCAAAAATTGGCAACAAAAGATGCTGTTTGCCCTGACCAACCTGAAGTTTGACAAGTATCTGACCGAGGACAAACGAACCATTCCGGCTGGGAACACTGATGTCCGCACACTTGCAAGCGTTGAGTCATGGATTCATGGTGATTATCTGTGCAGAGGATGGATCTTGGGCCGCCTCGTTGAGAAGCTGTATGGTGTCTACAGCAATGCCAAATCATCCAAGGCATTGTGGATGTCTTTGGAGAAGCAGTACAGAACAGAAGATGCTGGCTGCCAGAAGTTTGCAACTGAGAAGTTTCTAGACTTCAAAATGGTGGATTCCAAACCAATAATGGATCAAGTGGAGCAGCTCCAGCTAATCTGTTATGAGGTAGCCGCGGAAGGAATGTCGGTTTGTGAGATCTTCACAACAAACGCCTTCATTCATAAGCTACCTCCAAGCTGGAATTCATTCAAGGCCTTCCTCAAACACAAGAAAAAGGTGTTATCTCTTGAAGATCTCATCACCAGGTTGCGAATGGAGGACAGAAACCGCAACCAACATGGTTTCTCTCAGGGTTTGGGACACAATGCGAATGTGGCCATTTACAAGGGAAAGGGAAAGGCTAAGGTTTATGAAAAACCATCACTGAAACCTTCATCCTCCACAAATTTCAAGAAGAATGGAGCCTCACAAAAGAAGTTCAAAGGCAAGTGCCACAACTGCAACAAGCTTGGCCATAAGGCAGATGAGTGTCGCAGCAAGCCCAAAAATAATGGGAAGGTTCAAGCCAACTTCTTGACTGAGGGAGACCTTTGTGCTATGGTCTCAGAAGTCAACATGATTGAAGACAATCAAATGGAGTGGTTTTATGACACTGGTGCCACGACCCACATTTGCACTGATAAGGCAATGTTTAGCACTTATTAGGAGAGCAAGGGACACGAGCAGATGTTCATGGGAAACTCTGCATTTTCAAAAATTGCTGGTCGTGGGAAAGTTGTGCTCAAGATGACCTCAGGAAAAGAAGTCACTCTCCAGAATGTGAAGCATGTTCCTGACATGAGGAAGAATCTGATTTCCGGCACTCTCCTCAGCAAGGCCGGATTTTCAGCTCACCTTGAGGCGGACAAGCTGGTGTTCAAGAAGTTTGGGGTGTTTGTAGGCAGGGGTTATGTGAAAAATGGACTTGTCAAGATGTGTGTTACGACAGTCCTTCGTAACAATGATGTTGCTAATGTTGCTTCTACTTCCAATGCTGTAGCCTCTGTGGCAAATGTTTCTATCAATGAGAATAACCCAGTTGCTTATTTGCTTGAGTCTTTTAATATTTGGCATGAAAGATTAGGACATGTGAATAATAAATCTATACAGAGATTAATGAACTTGAACCTAATTCCGAAAAGCAAACCAAGCAAAGAGAAATGTAAAGTTTGTGTACAAGCTAAACTCACTAAAACTCCATCACCCAAAGTTGAAAGAACAAATGAACCTCTAGGTTTAATACACACAGATTTGTGCGATTTAAAATTCGTACAAAGTAGAGGTGGTAAGAAATATTTTGTGACATTTATAGATGATCACACAAAATATTGCTATGTATACTTGTTACACAGCAAAGATGAAACTTTGAAAAAGTTTAAAGAATATAAACGTGAAGTTGAGAACCAACTAAATAAAACTATCAAAATAGTTAGAAGTGATAGAGGAGGTGAATATGATGGACCGTTTAATGCCTTTTGTCAAGAACAAGGGATTATCCATCAAACAACTGCTCCTTAGTCACCAGAATCTAATGGAGTTGCGGAACGCAAGAACCAAACTCTTAAAGAGATGATGAATGCAATGTTGCAGGAATCTGGGTTACCCCAGAACATGTGGGGGGAAGCATTGCTTACCACAAATTATATCTTGAACAAAATACCACACAAAGTCACAGGAAAAACTCCCTATGAACTTTGGAAAGGTCATGCACCATCATATAAATACTTGAAAGTGTGGGGGTGCCTAGCAAAAGTCGAAGCACCACCTCCGAAAAAGGTTACAATCGGACCAAAAACCGTGGATTGTATTTTCATTGGATATGCACACAACAGTAGTGCGTATCGGTTTCTGGTTCATAAATCAGAAATCCCAGATATTCATGTAAATACAATAATGGAATCAAGAAATGCATCTTTTTCGAAAATGTTTTCCCATGCAAGGATAAACAACCTCATAAAAGAACTTTGGAACAAAGAGAATCAAGCTCTTCTACAAATGAGGCAAGCACTCCTGGAACTTCAGAAAACATTGAAGATGAACCTAGACGAAGCAAACGAGCTCGTACGGCAAAATCCTTTGGGGATGATTTCTTGATGGTTATTCTTTTAGAAAACGAACCTAGGACATATGCTGAAGCTATGTCTATACCAGACGCTACTTTTTGGAAGGAAGCTGTTAATAATGAGATGGAATCTATTAAACAAACCCACACATACTACATCACTGATTTACCTGAAGGGTTTAAAGCATTGGGGTGAAGATGGATTTTTAAAACAAAGTTGAAAACTGATGGGTCAATTGATAAGTACAAGGCCAGGCTTGTGGTGCAATTGATAAGTATAAGGTCAACAGTCATCTCACTTTAGTTCATATTTTAATCGCTTATTATTGCTTATTACTGTTTATATAATCAGTTCAATCGTAATTTTTTGTCTGTCTATTTTTGTGGTTCTACACATAATACATGCTGTATATATAAAAGCTTTATGATGAAAAATTAAATAAGTTACTATATACATTTATATAGACGCTCTTATAGTTGTTGTTCGTATACCAATTGCTAACGACCACAATCAAATTCATTTGGTTGTTGCAATGACCAACCAGCAACTAAAATACAAAGCCTGCTTTTAAAGTCTTATTAGACCCAATATTAAAATACCACAAAAGGCCCACCGGGCCAGTATGAATAATTTTTAACGGTAAACGATATTACGACAGTGCCACCGGGAGCTGTTCCTGAAATTTCGGTCAAGGAGATTTCATCTTCCTTACCTATCCTTCAAGAATTAGGGTTCTTCGTTTCTCCAATTCCCAAATCCTCTTTCAGCGAAGGGTTTGTGTTTGAGACAAGCAAAAGATATGAAGAGATCTCTGGGAAAGAAGGATACAAGTTTCTTAGAGCAATTGATTCTGTACGTCGCAGGCGCTGCATTGACTAGCTTGACTCTATACGTTGGTCTCCGTCAACTTGACCCGAATCGCGACGCTGCTAAAAAGGCTCTCAAGCATAAGCGAGAACTCGCCAAGCGTTTGGGTCGTCCTCTTATCCAAACCAATCAATACGAGGTAATTTCGACTCTTATGTGGAAATGTCCTTCTCGGATTGTTTAAATTCGTTAGATAGAGTAGTTTCGACCGAAACATTGAACTTGAATTCTGAAGAATCGAATCGCGTTTGCTTATTAGGGATTTAAACGTTCCAAGTTATTGTGCAAGGATGTTGAGGAAAATGTTGCTCATTTTGTTCGTTGTGTATACTTTTGTTTATGTGAGAAAACAGGATGTAATAGCTTGTGATGTTATAAACCCACAAAATATTGATGTGGAGTTTGGTTCCATTGGAGGGTTGGAGTCAACGAAGCAAGCTTTGTATGAGCTTGTGATTCTACCGTTGAAGAGACCTGAGCTCTTTGCTTATGGGAAGCTGCTTGGTCCTCAAAAGGGTGTTTTGTTGTATGGTCCTCCTGGAACTGGGAAGACAATGCTCGCTAAGGCTATCGCAAGAGAATCAGAAGCTGTTTTCATCAACGTGAAGGTTTCTAATCTTATGAGCAAGTGGTTTGGTGATGCACAGAAACTCGGTATGTGTAGAAATTAGCTCACATTACCCTTTTTTCGCTGCGTTTGGTTCTATTGGTAGTGTTACTGATATCAGAGCTGTTCTGTTTTCTTTAGTGGCTGCTGTATTTAGCTTGGCGCACAAACTCCAACCTGCGATTATCTTTATCGACGAGGTGGACAGTTTTCTTGGACAGCGACGTTCAACAGATAATGAAGCAATGGGGAATATGAAGACCGAGTTTATGGCTTTATGGGACGGGTTTACTACAGACCGTGAGTTTGAGATTCTTTTGTCCTGTTTTTAACCTTTGCAAATGAGGTGATCTAAAAGTATATGATGCTTGTGTTTATAGAGAATGCGAGGGTGATGGTTCTTGCTGCAACTAACAGACCTTCAGAGCTCGATGAAGCTATATTAAGGCGTTTTCCTCAGGCCTTTGAGATCGGGATGCCTGATCGCAAAGAGAGAGCTCAGATACTTGAAGTGGTTTTGAAAGGAGAGAGAGTCGAACCAGGTATTGACTATGATCGTATAGCTCGCTTATGTGAAGACTATAGCGGATCAGATATCTTTGAGCTCTGCAAAAAAGCAGCTTACTTCCCAATCAGAGAGATCCTAGAGGAGGAGAAGAAGGGCAGACAAATTTCGGTAAGTTAAAGAATCTCAATGCTTCCTCTTTCCTCCACCTGATTTCTGAGTACTGATTGTTTTCGAGCTGCCTGTATTTTTCCAGGTTCCTAGGCCATTAACACAGGTGGACTTGGAGAAGGTTCTTGCCACCTCAAAGAAGACGCAGGTTGCTGCAAGTGAGTACTCTGGTTTAAGCTCACAATATTCAGTGTGGAGAAGCCCAAGTGATAACGACGAGGTCCAGGCAGCTATAAATGGCATCTCAAAGCTTCTCGTCTCGCAGATTATAAACCATCAGTCAGATTCAAATCAGCGTGATTCAGAATAGAAACGTGATTCACTGGAGATTTGTATAGCCACAAAAGTATACCAAAAGAATATACACTTTTTTTTCAAATGTATGAATAAGTTTGAGGCATTTCCTTGTTGTGACTTATTTGTTAATAGGATTTAGGCAACATCATTTGATTCCTTGGGCTGTTTCTAGGAAATTTAATAAACTTGAACTTCATTTCTAGCTCAAGCAACTTAATTACTATAAACCAAAAACTACCTGATTACTACAAAATTTATGTATCAACTGCGAGATAAAAGCCCAATAATTTAATAATTATATTGTGATATTTTTTTTTACTGGGTGAACTTTGCATAAATTGTACTTTTTGTTTTTAAAGGTGTGAAGTTTGGCCAAATTGTGTCACAGTAATTGTGGAATTGTGATTTTAAACACGATTCTGAGATTTTTTGCCAATCAACAAAAGTTCATGAAATGAAAAATATATATAAAAATGTAAACTGTATTTTTAAAAAATCATTCCATAAAAAGACGATTAAAAAGTAGATTAATCTATTCTACAATATTTTTTTTCATCATTTCGCAATTCTACAATATTACCAGCCTTAGGAGAACGAAACTATACTCATTCACCAACTTCAAATCATCAAATGTTATAGGACACATGTTTTCTCCCATCTGGGCTTTTGAGAAGTAACAGTATAATTGGGCTTTTATGGTCAACTTGAGTTTTTTTTTTTTTTTTTTAAAGACCTTCTTTTGTTTTCGTTCTTCCTTTGACTCTGTCGATCGTCTCCAACCCAACTGTCTTCGTCGATTTGATCGATTCTTCTCGTCTCTTTCTCTCTTTGATTGAATTACGCCCTCGATTTCACCTCACAAGGTACCTAACTTATCAGTTGTTCAATCATAATCTAGTTTTTATGGATCTCAGTTGATCGATCTCTCGGCTTTCCTCGATCAAGCCCTGTTCTCATCGTTGTAGCATTTACATGTGATTTGGTCTTTTTTGGGGGTTTCTTTGATTACTTTCGCACAAATTGAGATTAGGGTTTATTTCTTTGAATTCGTATTAGCTCTAGCTTAAAAACCAAACCCCCTTTTGGTGTTTCAAGTTGGAAATGCTGCTGATTTTGTTCCGTTTGTTGGATTCTTATGATCCTGGACAGGTTATTTTGATCGGGATCGAATCTTCTGATCATGGTTAGTGCTCTTAATGCTTGTTTACTTCAAAGTTTCCATCTTTGCTTTGTCAAGCTGCCTTTGAGAATTTGTAGTTTTGTATATAAGTTTAACACTTCTGTTTTTTTGGATTGATATCACAGAATTATCTTCTTGGAGCTTTCAAGCCGGCCTGTAATATTTCAATCGTATTTACTGATGGGAAAAATCGTAAACAGGTACACATTTCTCTTTAGATTTATAATCCGTTTTGCTTCTCTTATGGATGTATATATATATATTAGCAGCCATTGTTCCGGGAATTAGACTTTGCTTCGCACTATAATGCAACAATTGCTCATCTCGAATTTTGGTGTCCTGCGTATGAAGTTAGGTCACGGATTTTCTTACTGTCTTTACTTGATCTCTGTCGCGTTAGGTACCGATTAAGAAAGATAATGGTCAAACAGTTATGAATCCACTTTTCCAGAGTCAAGAAACTATTGCTGGGAAGGTACTTGGTTTTGTTCTCACCTCTAGTTATCTGGAGTTTGAGGGGATTGCTTTAAAGTAGTTCTTCCATAACTCGTCTTTTATAGGTTTGCATTGAACCGTATCAAGGGAAAAAGGTGGAGCACAATGGTGTTAAAGTTGAGCTTCTTGGTCAAATAGGTGTGCTATTGCTGTTACTTATGTCGGTTTTTTATGTGGTTTCTAACTCGTTTCTTTATATGCTTATAATAAAATTTGTGTTTTTTATTTTTCTGACAGAAATGTACTTTGACAGAGGAAACTTCTATGACTTCACTTCCTTGGGTGAGTCAAAACTTAGGGTTTTATTTTGACCTGGATCTATTGTTTTGTTCAGTAGTCTCTTAATTATAAGTAGCTGACGCTTAGTTATTAAGTAGCTGATCGATCCTACTATCTTTTTGGTTCTTTATGTCTAATTTCAGTGCGTGAGCTTGATGTACCTGGAGAAATATATGAGAAAAAGGCATACCCTTTTGAATTTTCGACCGTTGAGATGCCATATGAGACATACAATGGCGTGAATGTGCGTCTAAGGTAATATATCATATTCTCATTTTACATCAAACAGTCTTAAATTTTGCATATTGTATAAGGCATAATTTGTGTTTCTGTTATTTTCAGGTATGTCCTCAAAGTAACAATTACACGTGGCTATGCTGGAAGCATCGTGGAGTATCAGGACTTTGTAGTATGTTTCTTCAATTTTTTGCTGTGTCTTTTTGTGGCATGATAGTGTTTAAGTTGGTATGTTTTATGGCTTGAAAACAGGTCCGTAACTATACTCCACTTCCTCCAATCAATAACAGCATCAAAGTGAGTTCTAATATGATCCAAGTTTTTCATCTTTGGAAAGATTTTAGGACGCAAACTCTTCTCTTTTTTTTCACTCTCAGTTTCCTGATTCCTTATCGCTTGTGTTTGTGATACTGAATCCTTTTTCTCTTAAAGCTGATTTCACTTCCCGAGTTACTTGACCTCTGCTCTTCTTGTTCTCCCCACATTCTTCATAGTATTAGATATGCTTAATTCCATTGGAACCTTACACGTTGTACAGATGGAAGTTGGAATCGAGGACTGTCTGCATATCGAGTTTGAGTACAATAAAAGCAAGTAAGACAAACTCATTTTCATAAGTTCTGGTTCAAGTGACAACAAAAATTAAAAACAAGAGCTAATTTCATATGCTCTGGATGCAGGTATCACCTGAAAGATGTCATCCTTGGGAAAATATACTTTCTTCTGGTGAGAATCAAGATAAAGAATATGGATCTTGAAATCAGACGGCGAGAATCAACAGGAGCAGGAGCTAACACTCACGTCGAGACAGAAACACTAGCCAAATTTGAGTTGATGGATGGTGCTCCAGTTAGAGGTAATTCGTCAAATTTTCTCGTATTTTACTCAGACCTTTTTGCTCTTTTCGTAACCTTGAGACATTGTGCAGGCGAGTCAATACCTGTAAGACTGTTCTTGACACCATACGATCTGACACCAACGCATAAGAACATAAACAACAAATTCAGCGTTAAGTATTATCTGAATCTTGTGCTGGTTGACGAAGAGGATCGCCGTTACTTCAAGCAGCAAGAAATCACGTTGTACAGGCTCAAGGAGGAGACATCTTGATGTTTACTAAAAGAGAAAGAGAGAAATGGTAATTTTTCAGAACTTTGTAAAGCCTTTTTCTTTCTGTATGCAATTAGTTGGCGACTTGGAGTGATGAAGTTAAAATCATTGTATTTTGTTCAATGACTCCATAATGTTGTTTGCTTCTGTTTGGATTCTTGTGACTTTCCCAAATGTCTTCTTCTTTTACGTATTTTTCCTTCTATAAAATCTACTTGTTTTTGTCTTATGTTAGAAATCTCTCAATACTAACGAAATTCAGTAAAATTATAGTCAAAAACAGTATGGCAGCACAATACTGAAGAAGCAGTTTTATTTATAGAAACAAGAAACAATGCACACACAAACATAGAAAACATGAGACATATTATTAACGTAGTAATGGAAAATGTATTAAAGGAATAAAAAAACGAAAGTAAATTAAGCTGCTCTTAACACACAAATCTTGATTTAGAAAACAGGACAACCATGAATAATCACACCTTTAGCAGTTGGACATTTAGCAACAGGACAACTTTCACCAGCATTTCCCCACCAATCAAGCACAATGTCACTACGTTGCAACGCAATAAACAAAAGCACAGACATAAATCCAGTCCCTGCGTCCATTCCCCCAGACAGAACATAGTTATATCTCTGCCACCATTCTCTTTTGTACTTAAACACGAAGTGTCCAAACACAAACGCCATAACGAGCCAGCTCGTGAAGTTAACCGCAGAAGCTGGTGGCATTATAGCCGTGGCTCCAATCAGAACAGGTATGTGAATGCTTGAGATCCATTTCTTGTTTGGGAAGATTCTTGTGGCTAAGTAGACCAACACTGGAGCTATTGCACCTCCTAGGAAGAACCAGTTTATGTTTGAGTATTCTCCAAGATCACCAAACATTCTTCTTGGTCCTACAAGTCCCCAAATCACTGATGCGTCGAAGAAGACTCGATCGGTTGGGCAAGTCCAGTGACTTCCTGGTGGAAGGAGAGAAGTGTCGCAGAGGTTTGGGATTTCAGCCATTAGCCACCAAGCTGTTAATGCGTAAACGAAGACGGCTACTAAAGTGCCCACAACCTGAGCCAAACAACAAAGAAGAATAAATTTTGTCAAATGTTCTGTTTTTGATATATGACGTATTAGAAGTTAGAAGAGAAGATAGTATAATGAGGGAAATATAAAGACTAGCCTGTGCCATGAACATGGTTCTTGGTGGGATCTTCATGTAAGTACCAAGCTTTAAATCAGCGAGGAAAGTCAAAGACTGGGACATGCTGATGTATCCGTAAGTCTTGAAGCATATGTTAGCAACAGGTCTCTCTGGATATGCATACCCAATTATGTATTCCGTGATGATGTTCAAACCCGGAGCCTGCAACAAACAAAACATAAGAAAAAAAAAAACCGGTTTAGTCAACATAACCCAATTATGATGCTCTAAGTTATATATGTCTGTGAACTCTATTCAAACCTGATTAGTAGTGGCCATGATCACACCAACGAGAGGAGTGAAGAAGACAGCTATCAAACAAGCCAAGAAAGCTCCCCACCAAGGAAGCTGAATCTGTGTGTTATAGTAAATACATATGAAGACAATAACCGCAAGATTGACCACGAAAATCGAAAGAAACCACCAAAGAGGAACTTCTTTGTAATTCCTTTTTATGATCTTTGTATGTATATCCATTTTGTGGTTTTTGCCAAAAGCTCCTTTGGTTTGAGTCCAAAGATCTTTGCCATTGAAAAGCAGGACATGGACAACACTAGCAGTCAAAGTGGCGAAACCTAGCCCGTAAGTAACAGCAAAGAAAGTGCTCATGTGGACTGGTCCGGTCTCTGC